CAACAATGGCGCTATCCGCAATATTCGAGAGTATATCGCTGAAGCCGGATGGCATCAACCAGTCGTCTGTTGTAGTACCGGAACCGGATCTTGTTACGACACCCAAGAAATTGTTGATTTAAGTTAGATTTAATGGAATTGAAGTGAAGTATCGTGAAATCGGATTTCAAATCTGTACAAGACCCATTGTCCAGTATCAAAATTGAGCAAAAACTGTCCCGTTGACTGCCATCCATGGCACAGTCCCGTATTTGAAATTAGTAGTCTGGATTCTTCACGATACGTTTGCGAAAGTGTTATCGATTGTGATGGAACTAATGCTTCCCGATCTTTCGTACTTTTCTCATTCATTAGGTACGGCCTAATGCATCGCGTATTAGGAACCAGTGAGTGCATAGCAAATTATCTGGACGGTGGTTTTATGCGCTCCGTTTGGTGTTTGTCGCATACCAGTTCACTGTTTTTATTGCTAATCGCATTATTTTTCCTTACTAAACCAATCTGGTTACTTTGGCCAGGTAAGTGTTCAATTCCGCCTGTTACTATTATTCTTGTCCTTTCACCACTGATATGAAATCGTCCAAAATCTGTTCCGCCCCACAACAAACATTTAGCCTCCGTTAAAAGGATCACATTTGCAGTATGAAACTTGTGTACTTCTCTGGTCCACACAGTACTGAAACATCTTCGAAGAAATCTTTTCAGCACTTTTGATGCAATCATCATATGCTCTTGGGTTAGCAGTGTTAACGATGGCAACAGCGCCGAAGATGCTTGACGCAATGAGTGGTAAGGTGGATACAGAATTCGGTGCCGCATTTGCTGTTTACCTGATGGGCTTCATTTCCAACTGGCTATTCACATTTGTCTTGTGGCATCATTACTGGTATATTGAGGAGAAACTGAAAACCATTTCTTCCAAGCGTGTTTCAGCCGGTTATAGCTTTTAAAGTAAATCAGCATGATACTAAACGCGAAATTTTATACACCCTGTTATCAATAATTTGTCCTTTACATTGTATCTGATATCATAATGTATACTGGTCAGTGTCCAATCAATTAACAGATAGATTTCCTGCTATTGTAACCCCATTTTGTTCCTTGACCTTTGACACTTCTGTTTTTTAGGAGAAAGGGAGAGAAGAGAAAAGAAATGATAGAATTTAAAGAATGACAAGATTAGGCAAATTCAGAGTGATTTTCTTGCTATTTAAATATGCTAATATTTTATGAGAAAATTATCACCACTGCTGATGTTGAAAAAAAAGCGAAGGAATTTATAATACGTACAAGCATTTGTTGTAGAATTTCTTAGATGAAGAATTCATTATCACATTACGCAAAGGAAAGGGATAAAACGTTTTCCCATATTTAAAGTGATGAGTCAATTACCTAAGCTTCAAATCATCCAACAATACCCTTTGTCTGATGTTGAAATTGCGTACATTTAGTAGCTAAATTATACAATGCTGTTTGCCTCATATATAAATCCTTGTATGCAGCTGTATGATACTGTAAGCCTAACTCACTTATAGACAATATAAAAGCTCATTAATGGATTTTTGGGGAGCTTCTCTCTTTTGCTCATCCATCAACAAACAAACAACAAACGACAATAAAAAAAAACTTCCTCGACAGCTGAAGAAAAATAAATTTCTGGTGATAACAAATATGGTAGTGAGAATTTCACAGATTTCGACAATGTCGAAAAAAACAACTGCTTACTAATATGAAGGAATTATTGCGTTCTACTAACAATGAACTACCGGTGAGACTATGACCGAAGGAAAAATGGCAGAACATAGATCAGAACGAAGCGTCCCAGAAGGACTGCAGAAAGAGAAGTTAAAAATGAATCACGAACCGCAAATAATTTTTTTATTGATTACACCAATATAAGTAACAATTAGTAATCATATTTGATTAAATGATTGAATTTTTTATTTTGTTGCCATCACTAATAATAAATACTGAGATTTGGAGGTGGGACACAAAAATGAGTAAAGATGAAGCAGAAGTAGTGCACACTTTTATTTCTGTCCTTTCCCTTACATTTGAAATTTTAAAGTTCACGAAAAGATCAAGCAAATTAGAATGTAAGGCTTGAGTCAGAGTTTTCATTGAAGCCTATTCAGAATGACAATTGGATATTCGTCCGGTCTGCCGGTGAAGTTGAATTCTCAAGAGGCGAGGAAAAAAGACTAAGAGATGGATGCGTTTGGATTTAGCGAGACGTTTTTTTTCATTTAGCGATCTGCTTGAAATTGGTCATACATGTTAACTAAATACATTTAGAATACATTCGAGTGACGACAATTCGTTGACGTTACGTGCGTGTGGTGAGAGGAGGATATGTGTAAAGGAAGCACTGATTATGTCAGATGAAGGGAGAGGGACGCTTTGGTCGAAATTCGATTCTCTTCCGAATAAGTTGTTGCAATTCTTTTCACGAGATTCAGGTAAACGAAGTATCTATTGCTATTGCAAGAACTTTATTGTTGAGCTGAAAAATTCATCTTAAATCTAATAATATCGGGACTGTGCTATTTTTTTTACAGATTTCAAAAAAAAAGTGAGTGAGGAATTTTCAGATGGTAAGGATAAAGTTGTTGCTGAAAGTGAACAACACATTGTGGATAATTCCAACACTAGTGGTTGGCAGCGACTGAGAAATATGTATATTAATAAAGGTTGGTAAAAAATTATTCTTCAGTTTGTAAACTTTGAAATTTATTATGTTTTTAATGTTACAGATGTGCATTTTGAAACAAGTATATTGGTGCCATGTATGGAATGGACATTTGTTGGTACAGTACTACTCACAGGTCCTCTAGGATGGCAAAGAGCTGCTGACCGTTATAATCGTTATGCGAGAGGGCGAATATTTCTTAGTCCACGTGACGCATTGGTTAGTATTAATTTGTACACGTTGTACACTGTAACATTGATTGCGAATTTTGGTGGTATGAACAGCTTTCTAGCGCTTGCTATGAAAAATGTTTTTGTCAGCGTTGTAAAGACGTGATTTTCATCAAGCATCGTCGAGCCAGACTTTTCCAGCCTAACCTAACTGCTTTAGGATGAATATTGTGTCAGTTAATATTACCTCGCTTTTGTTTAAGTAGATTTTAGAGACGTAAATGGGATTATGCATTCGCATCATTTTTACGCATGGGAGCAATTAACGGTACTCTGGCAGCATTATACGTTGGATGTATGGTGTAAGTTGTTCCTTCTTTTCATCTCATTGATCTAATATTATTTTCATAATTCAGGTGCTAGCGTCTTTTGTTCAACTTATGAGAGGAGTTGGGAAAATGACGAAAATGCTCAAGCAGTTTTTCCGTTTACAAATTTGAAAATTAGAAGTGATATTTGCATTTTGTATTATCATTACTTTTAGAGCAGCGATCACACACGTTGCAGCATGGCGTGACCATTTTTCACTTTGGACAGTTCCCGTTATAACAAGTGTGTTTACATCTCTTTACTTCCAAATTATTAACTGTGGATCTGTGGCATTTAGTTAGAGAGTGAGCACGAGATCTGGAATAGACATTGGCTTGAATAAGTGTCTTAGTAACGTCAAACGCTGTGCAAGAAAGGTAAAGAAAGAGAAATGATTGGTTTTAGCAACTTCAGAATTAGTTCAGTAGATGATTTTTCAAAATTAAAATGAGGAAGTAACTTTTGTTTCAGCTTCACTACCTTTTATAATTGCATATCCACTTGGTTTGCGAAAAATGGTGCAAACAGCAAATCTAGGATTAGCGTGCGGGTATCATTTCTTGTGTTCTTTTTTTTTCCGATAATTTTAATAGTAATGTCACATTGGCTTATCGATTTCATTCTGGAAGGGAAAATGTGGGACACCATTCGTGTGTTATTCATGTTTCCTAAGTTTCGACTAAAATTAAGAGGATCAGTTTTTCGTGATTTTTTTTTTCACTTTTTATCTGGTATTTTATTTGTAGGTTGACACTGTCGTTGATCGTGTTTAGTGCATCATATTTTTCCAATCAGACGATAAACGAAACTTATCAACAGTTCAAACGAGAACATGAATTGATGTTGAGGGCTGAACGAATTAGGGACGAAAATCTTAAAATATATCAAAAAGAGCACAAAATTTGGCCCAAAAGTTTGGCAAAACTTATGATGGATAAGGATAAAAAGTTAGAGAATGAAATTTCTGAAAATCCCTCTAAATAAAAACTCTGGTAACACTATGTCTACAAACGATGTATGTTCATGCGTTCATCTTCATTCGTCGATGCATTTCCTTTAAATATTTTTATGAACGGTTTGGTTCTTCTATATCTACCAATATATGTTGAGACTGTGGCATTTGGAAATATAGTTATACCAAGTTGTTAGTGCTACCTTGGGTAAGTTTGCAAGAACAAAGTGTCTCTTTTTATCATCATTTCCACTTCCTTTTTTTTTTGTTTGTCTCTTCCTCTCAGTCCTTTTCCCACGCTTCTCAAGAACTCAGCTTTACGGACGAACCGGACAAATATCCGATTGTCACCCTGTGTTGGAAAACCGAGAAACTTGTATTTATAATTTAAATATAAAGCGCTTTTTGAAATTTGCTGAGGTAAGATTGTTGTTTATGCCGTTGTCCTCACATTGTCAGGCTTGCCGTTGTATGGTACTGCAACATGTATATTCTTTGATCTTATATGCCGCTTCTTGCATATATGTTGTTATTTATCATTCTAATAATCTTGTACGTCTTGTTTAAATGTTGTAAAGTTCATATTGTCAATCGGTTCGACCTTATGGACTGTGGTAAACAAACTCTCCCTGTATAAGCTCGAAACCCGGGAATCTCGGCATTCTTTTTTATCGACGTACAGCGATATCTTCC